TGGCATACATCGCAGATCACTCTGAGCAATGTCTCATTGCATGCTGTAAAGAAAACCACTGCCCCCATTGTGTTGTAAGACCAAATCAATGAGGAGACCACCACAATTCACCTCTCCAAAATGTTGATAAGACTCACACAACTCTCAGATGCCATTAAAATGGAGAAGACCCTCACCTCTTTGAAGATCAAGGCCTTCATGCAATCCATTATCCTTTCTCCCACACACCAATATTTTTTCATGCATCACTCCCGATATCCCCCACCAGTTACACAAGGGAGTGTTCAAAGATCACATTGTTAGCTGGTGTGCTAGCATTATGTCTGACTCTGAATTTGATGCACGGTTTCAAGTGATGTCTGAGTTCCATGGACTATGTCATTTCAAGTGGGGAATTTCAACCATCTCTCAATGGACTTGCACCGAGCATAAAGGGATGCAGCATGTCATTTTAGGTGTCATTGCAGGTGCTGTGGAACCCCACATGTTTCAGGCTGCATGCACTGTCCTTGATTTTATTTACTATGCACAGTATCAAGCCCACACGGACATGACCCTCATGTGAATGCAAGATGCACTAGATATTTTTCATGCCAACAAGGAAGTTTTTGTTGAGCTGGGCCTGCGGGAACACTTCAATATTCCCAAAGTCCATTCTATGTGCCACTATGTGCAAGCTATTCATTCTTTGGGCAGCTTGGATGGGTTCAACTCAGAAAGCCCCAAACGACTACATATTGACTGTGTGAAGGATGCTTATCAAGCAAGCAACAAAGTTGATTATATTGCACAGATGACTCACTGGCTTGAACTTCAAGAGGCCATATTTCACCATGGTATCTACCTCCAATGGACTGCCTCCCAAAGTGACCAACCATTCGACTTGGATGCACTCAAGGATCAGGATGAGGACCACGAGGCTGCAGGCTTGGAGAGTGGGACTGCAGACTCATTACTGTCTCAATTTATTCCATCTGGTTTGCTTACCTCACATGGCTACCATGTTGCCAAGAGCTGCCCTTTTCCAAATGTGTCCGTTGTAGAGACTAATATCCCTGTGGCCTTGCAGGGATCTAAAATCCCATTGTTAATATCACTTCCTGACATAGCGTGACTCATATCTCACACAGCGTGCTCAAGCACTTCGTCGGCTGCTCGCAAGCGCCAGTGCTCCGGTCACTCCTTAGTCGCGCATCGGCGCGCGCATCCTCGGTTCCATTGCACGTCCTCCGTCCATCCATTCCATGTCCGTTCGGTTCGTCGGTGCATATTCCGATTCTATTTTCATTAATTCTGACATATCTCCGGCACTTATGGCCATGTTTCGTATGTTTTCCGTTATGGACCCTTATTACATATTATCTCGCTTCTCGGTTCGCTTTAGCGCTTGACAGCGCTTAACATTACTTAGTATATATAGACGCGCATAAACTGTGTAATGACTATCTTTTTCTGCCCACACATTGTTGGACTATAAGTCTAAGTTATCCTCTAAAAATCTAAAGTATCTAAGTACAATACGAGCGCCGCTGCCGTACATTACTAGAAACTCTGTCCATTAGTATTCTGACTCATTAAGAGTTGCTGCGCTCCACCACCCGCACACGCACCGCTTCTGCTTAAGCGCACGCTTCCGTTATAAGTTGCTCGTCGATATCTATTGTCGGCCGCTATCGCTCATCGGCACTCCACATCGCTTTTGCTTGCTCGCGCTTCGCTCATCGTCGCGCGCCTTACCAGGCTTGATCAAGTGCCTGGTTCAGTGTTTCCCTCCGTTTTATACACTTAGAGGAACCTTCTCAGTAGCAATCCCCTTGGGCCGACATATATCTCGCTCACCGAGGACTACTTGAGTTATCTCATACCACCTATATTCACCCACTTCCCATTCCTCTTCTACACCATCTCATCTGCAAACCATTTTTGGTGCTATCGACTTCATACCTGCACTTCAAACTTTCCTCAGCCATCACTTTCCCTGTTCTTCTGTTTCTGCCAGCAACTATGATTGGTTTGATGTGTTCAAATCAATTTTACTTATCCTACCTAAGAACAGTCATGTCAGTGACCTCAAACGGTTGAATCATCTTCAAGCTCATCCACCTATTCCCAATCATGAACATTGCAAACCTGCTGCACCTGCACATTTTGATGTTGCTTTTGTTGTCAAAGATTGTGATGCATGGAAGAGTGGTACAGGACTTGATGGTGCATCTTTCATTTTATGCTTCAAACCATTATGCTTAGACACTTGCAGGCTTGCAGGTTGCACAGATACATGTGATCTTCAAATTACCATCTCACTATGGTAACTTCACTCACCCACTCACGTATATCAAATGGTTCTGCCCCCTCCGTGACCCAGAACCCACAACAAATCTTTATCAGCTAGTACGTTCAACTCATAACCAACAGTGTTTTGCATCTGTCGTGAGCGTGCAAGATGTTTTGCAAGCGGGTCATCTGATGCCCAGGTTTGGATCAGGCAAGGTAGACATGTCATGGATCAATGGTGATGTTCTCAAGCTTGCTGATGAGTTTTATATCAATCTTTACATTAATTTTAACATATTTTATGTTACAATCACTGTTCCATTGTTGTCTATTTTCTTGTACTTATATAAATCACTTACCATTCCTGGTACTGTACCTTATTTCTCATGATTGTCTTGGTCTGTGCACACATATTGGCCTATTTAAGCACATGTATTACACTGTAGAACTTCACTTTAATCTTACTAGGTTTTCCCCAGAAACTTCCTTCGCTTAAGACCTCCAATCTTAAGTCGTCTGATACCTGACTCTTAGTAGAAGCACTCCTTCGACTAAGCCTTGAACTCTCTCTCTTCTGAGAGACTTAGAATCTCAACAACCAGGAACCTCTGTCAAGCTTTCGTTGTTAGAACTATCCTAGTTCGTAACATTTGATATAATACAGCATTTATAATCTACTTGTTCTAACATCGCGGCACAAGTGTCATGTCATTGTGCTCATAGTTCTGTTGTTGTACATAGACTTGCACATGGTTTGATTGACTACCTACAGCAGTATAGCATTGGCATGGCGCTACCAGTCCAAACACTTTTTCCTGATGTGAACCAAATTTATTTATGATGAGCAAAAAAAAACATAGGTAGGACGCCTACTCATAGCTACACATCCAACAAGACAGCTGCTTCTGCCTCAACTGTCACAGAAACATGGACATTCCTATATGCCACCTTTAACAACTGTAGCGAGCCAAACGTGGATGACAAAGCAACAAAGAATATAGGTGTGACTATCGACAACAGGTAGGACAAGACAAAGTAGTTGCCTTGCTTGAGTTGCTGATTATATTTAGGTCAGCTGGTGTCCGAATCAGCATGACGAGAATAAAACTCACTTCTTGAGTCCAGTGCTGATCAGCGTGCAGCCAACATATCATGCTCAAGCCAGACATCAACATTGCAATCATGGAGAACATGAGTGATATAAAGAGTAGACAATAGGGAACAGGTGACATGTAGTCGAAGTAAGACACAGGAGAACCCATGCTGATGAAAACACCACTTATAGCGAGGAGGACACTTGCCTTATGAGAGCATGTCAGTGTCGGCTTCAGTTCACAACAGGTGCAGAGTTGGATAGCTTACCATGGTGATAGTGCTTCTTGCAGTTCCTAGTGGAAGTGAAAACCTGGTCTGGCAGTTGATTGGGGTAGGGTTCTTGGGCGAGGGCATGAGACGAGGTGCTGGAGCCTGGTGCAAGATATCATAGTGGGCATGTGGGGAGGTACGAGCATGGGCTTCTGGGTGTGTGCATGAGACTGAACTAATGTTCTAGTCTTTGGGTTTCGATGGGGTGACATTACCAAACACTCTTTCCAGTCTGCTTGTTTCTGCGACGTAGCAGAGAAGGTGGGGGACATCCTTTGTGTGGCTGAGGAGGGAATGGAGATTGTTACTATAATGATTCCTAAGTTGTGAAATCATACCTGAGTGGAATAGAATGAAGCCATGGCGTGAAAGTTGAAACAGAATAGGGAAGAGAGAGACTAATGCTCATAGTGAAAACAGGGCTCCCTGAGGCTGAGGTGGATCATTGAAGGCAGTATCAAAACATGCTTCAACAATGTGACAGAACTTCTTGCAGTTCGGGGAAGGTTTGAACCAACATAGAACCGTTCGGGCAATGGTGGACTGCGAACCTCACTCAGGTCCAGTCCGCCCCAATTCTTGGACCATGGACCATGGTTCTGGACCAAACCATGGCAGCACTAATGAACATACCCTCAGTCGTAGAACAACGAAATGAGGGAAGAGAGGTAGATGAGAGATAACGGTTATATAATGGTTTGAATTCCTACGTGACACTCTGCTGAGCCACATTGTGTTGTCACGTGCGTCATGCGCCAATATGTGACACTGTATACTGTATCATTTCAACCTTAGGTTCGTCACACCATCACAAGCCCGATGAACCAAACCTATTTTTTGTGACAGTCACAGCTGTTTTGGGTCAACGAACCTAATTTTGTGACATAACATATGATATGTTTTTTTTAGATATGTTTTTTTATGAAAACATTTGTCTAACCACTTTTTTTTCCCTCCTTATTGTCATTTTTGAGCCATACTTTGTGTAGAAAGTACATAAATTATCCTACTGAATATGAACCTTATGAACCTATGAACCTATTGTAAGTTTGTCACAGCTGTCCTTGAGAGACGAACCTGTCACAAAACCATTAGGTAATGCAGTGCCGACATTCCCACGAACCTAAGGTCGAAATGATACAGTAATGGCGTTCAAAGTAAATTTCACAGAGCTCGCTAAGCTCTGTAAAGCTCGGTAAACTCGGTCAAAAATAAGATTTGTCACACTACGGCTTGGGCCGGCATCGATCGGAGTCCCAAAAGACATGCCTGCCCTATGACCACGACTTCGTCGCTCTGCGCGACTACATATACAGTCTCAAATCATCTCCCTGCGACGTTGCAAGACCGGGCTGAAATTTATGGAGCCATCACCAGCTCCTCCTGCACGGGGAAAGGGAAAATGCAGCATAGGAGGTAAAGATAGAGCTACTACTTCTCCTACTATCTCTATCAGCTGGCAAGCGGTTCCCCAGCGGACCAATAGGCTGGTTGACTACCTCATTGGACACCCACCAGATTGCCGCATTCTGTTCGCCAGTGAAAAGAAGAATCCAGCCAACCATGAAGCTGAGGGCCGCCCCTCAGGCAAAGACAAAAACGAAATCCATGCTGTCATTGCAAGGGTTATTTTCTCCGACGATCCTCAATACGCGGTGCTCTATGCCTCGAATCCCAACAAATTTCGGGACTCTGTATATAATCGCATCGTGGCGTAAGTGATCCCCCCCTATTTTTATAATCACCAATGCTGATCGCTGATCACAGCCTCCGCACTAAATTTCGTGACATTCGTGCTGAATTTGAGTCCACGGGTGCAGGCATCGTGCCCATCGATTCAAAGACAAGCGTGAATTTGCATCGTGAGTCTTCTCCTCCCTACACAAATTCTTCTAATTAAATTTGTAGGTAAATACGAGAAGGACTTTCCCTGGTACGATCAGCTCTACTCCATCTGGGGCTCCCATCCATCATTCTCCACCAAAATGTCATCGTCAAAGCCGGGCGTTGATCACGCAAGTGATCTCTTTTCTCTCACCCGTCCTTCGGGTGGCTCTCTTCGTCCCCCTGCTTCCTCCAGCACTGATCCCGGCTCTCCCATGCAACTTGGCAACACGCCTCTCCCCAATGCTCCAGCTGGCGGCATTGCTGGGTCGTCAACTGGACCCACTTATGACTACCTTCCTCCAAACACTCATGCAGGTGGTGCCGCAGCCGCGGCACCACCTACCTCCCCCCAATTTTATCACACTCCCCCTGCTCCAAACGCTCATGCAGGTGGTGCCGCAGCCACGGCACCACCTACCTCCCCCTTTTGTCACACTCCCCCTGCTCCTGGAGGCAGTGGTGGTAGCCCTTCGCAATGGAACTATGTGCCACCACCCCCAAGCACTCACACCAACAGTTCTGCCGGGTCCCCTGTTTTTCGTTACCCACCGCTTCCCTCCGGTGCTACATCTCACGACGGTACTTACTCTCCTGTCGCTCATTCCCCTACTGATGATTATAATTTTGACGGTATCTACGATGACAACCCTCTTGCAGGTGAGATGGAGGATCTTAATATGGATTCCCTGGATGAAATTACTCATGACGACAGCAACACTATCAGCCTGGACAGCCCGCCAAGACGCAGGGCTGGGAAGAAGCGCCAGGAGCCCCCTTCCCCCCCCCTCCCCTACTACTACCTCTCATATGCAACAGGTGCCCCCCGCACTTCCATCCAGCATGATCGCGCTACATTGAGCCCCTTCAGTGACAAATTCCGTATTATATGGGCCACCCAACCTCCATAATATCCCGTATGAGACGGGCCAGCTGATCATGGGCCCATGTTATGTATATTCTCGATGATGACGGATGGGCCAGGACACATATTATTTCTGATGGAGACGGGTGGGCCCATGTATGCCAATGATATATATATCCTTAATGTTGACGGATGGGCCGGGGGAATATGATCATTCATGGAGATGGGTGGGCCCATCTGGGTAATATGTAGAGTAGGATATTATAGACAGCTGGGCTGAAGAGAGATGTAAGGCAAATATTGTTATATAGACGGGCAGGCCGACGTGGGTGTATTACATATATGGGTGGGCCGAGGTAGGGAAATATTACATAGACGGGTGGGCTGACGTAGGGTGTATTACATATACAGGTGGGCCGACGTGGAATGTATTACATATACGGGTGGGTCGACGAAAGGGATATCAAATAGACCGGTGGGCCGAGGGTGCTATAAAATATTTATTACATAGACAGGTGGGCCGAGGTGGGGTATAATTATATAGACGGGTGGGCCAACATAGGATGTATTACATAGATGGGTTGGCTGACGTGGGGGATAATACATAGATGGGCGGGCTGACGGGGGTGTATTACATATATGGGTGAGCCTAGATATGTTCCATCAAGACATACAGCTGATGTAGCCACCAGCGAATCAAACACATAGGATACATGTACACTATGAGTGCATATACCTACCATCAACCACCAAATCTAAACCCCTAAGCACAAAAACATGAATCGATCATGTGTGGCATTGACCAATAATCCAGGACTGAAGTGGAAAAACCCCATACCTGAACCCTGGTGTGCAACAAATCCTATTTCTAAGCATGGACACCAGAAGCACAACACTCACAAAAATATATATGTCAAATTTTCAGTGCCAAACCCCAAACCGAGATGTACCAACCCCTGAAACCCGAAACCCGAGACTGCCGGGTCTCAGGTATCGGGTGTCTGGAACTCGGAACTTGGGAGAATTTGGGGAGATCAATACAATTTAATTTACAATCAAGTTGATTGACAACACATTGACTTACCCATGTTTGCAATATATTTTTGTTTAGACATACCGAGTTCCGAGTTCCGGACACCCGATACCCGAGACCTGAGACTGCCGGGTTTCGGGTGTCGGGTGTCCGGAACTCGGAACTTGGGAAAGTTTGGGGAGATCAATACAATTTGATTCACAATCAAGTTGATTGACAAACACATTGACTTAACTATGTTTGCAATATATTTTTGTTTAGACATACCGAGTTCCGAGTTCCGGACCCCCGGACCCCGAAACCTGAGACTGCCGGGTCTCGGGTATCAGGTGTCCGGAACTCGGTATGTCTAAACAAAAATATATTGCAAACATGATTAAGTCAATGTGTTGTCAATTAACTCGATTGTAAATTAAATTGTATTGATCTCCCCAAATTTCCCCCGAGTTCCGAGTTCCGGACACCCGATACCCGAGACTGCCGGGTGTCAGGTGTCGGGTGTCCGGAACTTGGAACTTGGGAAAATTTGGGGAGATCAATACAATTTGAGTCTCGGGTATCGGGTGTCCGGAACTCGGAACTCGGGGGAAATTTGGGGAGATCAATACAATTTGATTCACAATTGAGTTGATTGACAAACACATTGACTTACCCATGTTTGAAATATATTTTTGTTTACACATACTGAGTTCTGAGTTCTGGACCCCCCAACCCCAAAACCCGAGACCCAGCAGTCCACAATTCTGGGGTTCAGGGGTTGGCAAAATGTGTATGAATATATGAAAGGTTGAATGAAACATTTTTGAAAGATGTCTCATATCAAATGTTAAGTCCCGAGTTTCGAATTTCGAGTTTCAAGACTCCAGGTTTCGGGACTCGGCACTCCCGAAATCCAGAAGTTGAAACTCGGGATTTGACATTTGATATGAGACATCTTTCAAAAATGTTTCATTCAACCTTTCATATATTCATACACATTTTACCAACCCCCGAACCCCAGAATTGTGGACTGCTGGGTCTCGGGTTTCAGGGTTCGGAGGTCCGGAACCCGGAACTCGGAACTCAGTATGTGTAAACAAAAATATATTTCAAACATGGGTAAGTCAATGTGTTTGCCAATCAACTCAATTGTAAATCAAATTTTATTGATCTCCCCAAATCTCCCCAAGTTCCGAGTGCCGGGACCCCCGAACCCCGAACCCCGAGACTGCCGGGTCTCGGGGTTCGGGGGTCCGGAACTCGGAACTCGGTATGTAGAACAAAAATATATTTTAAACATGGGTAAATCAAATTTTATTGATCTCCCCAAATTTCCCGAGTTCCGAGTTCCGGGACCCCCGAACCCCGAGACCTGGCAGTCCATAATTTCGGGGTTCAGGGGTTGGTAAAATGTGCATGGATATATGAAAGGTTGATTGAAACATTTCTGAAAGATGTCTCATATCAAATGTCAAGTCCCGAGTTTTGATTTCCGGGTTTCAGGACTCCAGGTTTCGGGACTCCGGGCTTCGGGACTCAGCACTCTTGAAACCCGGAAATCAAAACTTGGGACTTGACATTTGATATGAGACATCTTTTAAAATGTTTAAACCAACCCTTCATATATCCATACACATTTTACCAACCCCCGAACTCCGAAATTGTGGACTGCCGGGTTTCGGGGGTCCGGGGTCCCGGAACTCGGAACTCAGAATTTGGTATGTAAGACAACAAAAATATCTTTCAGGGTTCAGGGGTTAGTGAAATGTTTATAGATATACATAGATTAATTCAAACATGTCTGAAAAATTTCGTTCATCTCAAATGTCAAATCCTGAGTTCCGGACTTCGGGACTCAGCACCCGGCAGTCAGGGTTGGGGGTTCGGCACTGAAAATTTGACATTCGGGTGTTCAGGTTTTGGGTGATATCTAAATCAACAACTTCAAGTTCTGCCAAAGCATGAAACTTGAAACCCAGTGTGCAACATGTTGATTTTTCATTTATATCACACAAATCATCAAGTTCCGAGTGCTGAGGGCTGAGACCCAAAGCCTGAGACCTGAAAATATGTACACAACATGTCCATTTTTCACTCACTGCACAAATCACCAAGTTTCGAGTGCCAAAGCGTGAAACTTGAAACCCAGTGTGCAACATGTCCATTTTTCATGTACATTACACAATTCATTGAGTTCCGAGTGCCGAGGGCCGAAACCCGAACCCCGAGACCTGAAAATATGTATGCAACATTTCCATTTTTCACTTGTTGCACAAATCACCGAGTTTCAAGTGCTGAAACCCAAAACTCGAAACCCGGTGTACAACATGTTCATTGTTCATTTACATTACACAGATCATTGAGTGCCAAGGGCAGAATCCTAAAACCCGAAGCCCAAAAACATTTATGCCACATGCCCATCTACTCATTGCACAAATCACCAAGTGTCGAGTGCCGAAACCCGAAACCCGGTACTTCAAATCAGTAGTCGGGTACTTGGTACCCGAGAATCAGTAGTCAGGTACTTGGTACTTGGTTCTAATTCTCGGTACCTGGGAATCAATAGTTGGGTACTCCAGCCAATAGTCCCGAGTCCCGAGTACTGATATTTGGTATTCGGTAGTCAGGTTTGGAACTTGGGTCTTGGTTTGGTTATCATTTGACTGAGATATTGGTAGGAAATATTGGCACTCGGAGCTCAAATACTGACTATCAACTATCAAGTGTCGGGACTTGGTAATCGGTAGTTGAGACTTGGTGCTTAAATGGATATTGCATATATACATAAAAATACAAAATATGTTCCTATGTGTTCATTTCTAGGTGAACAGACTTTGGAATTATATCTCAATCATCTATTCAACAATAGAAACAATGTATCAGGAGCTCAGGACCATAGGGTAATCCTTTATTGTATAGTGTACCTCCCCCTCTTCTGGTGGTTCACCCGCTGGGGGTTTTTCCCTGTAAAGCTGGACCTCAAGGACTGTAGGGAGTCTATTCCTGAGCATATTCGGAGTAGATATATCATATAACCAGCCCAGGACACACAGGATCCTTCTCCAGGAACAAAGCATAGACAATTGCACTTGTGACATTTTTTCACAATTTTCAGTATCTTGCCCTTGCATCCATGATCCAACCTTTTAATATATAATGAGCATAGCTTATATTCTTGCTTCTTATGACCAAGATCAGCTCACAATAGGCTGGAGTTTGTGAGCTAGTGTGCATACTTGCCATTTTGCCTGATAAGGGGCCCATGCCTTCAAAACATTGAATCTTCATAATCAGAAACCTGGGGTACATTTCAAATATCTTAAGTATCATAGACATAAATTTACAGACAAATCAACCAAGAATTGAGTACTGAGGAAGTGAAATGGGTAAGAAATTGAGTGTGGGAAACTTCAAAGACCCAAAGCATCGAAAATGGTTAGTTGAGCAGTGGTAGGACTTTAATGCTGGGTCAACTCATATTTTCACTATATCCCTTCTACCCACCCCCTACCCTCAGGGCAGTAGGCAGTATGGGTTCCTTGGGTAGTTTACAATCTATCCTACATATTTGTAATGATATTTTTGGCCTGAATCATATATAAATGTGACTTTGTATAAAAGATGTCTACTGTCACTCTCCACACATCATTTTGCCTATCATTACATCAATCCTTCATGAATATTTCTAAGCTTTTAAGCTATTATAATGGATGTATATGGGTGTTATTCCAGGTCTCTGATCACATCACAGGCTTGTCATGTTGGATATCTCGACATAATGTGCAAGTCTTGCTATTAATATTCATTCTTTATCTTTAGACTCACTTACTGCACACATGTATTTCATTTGTCATTATTGATGTTTTGGATTTCTTTAGCTTATATCTTGGTCACATGGTAACCAATGGACGAGAAAAGACTACAAATAAACTCACCTAGACTCGGACTACAACCTTGATTAAGCTGACTACTGATTCCCAGATACTGAGTATCAAAACCAAATACTGAGTACCAATTACCATGTACCAAGTACTGCGTAATGAGTAACAAGATAACCAATTGACAAGAAAAGACTACCACTACACTCACCTGGACTTGGACTACAACCTTTGGTAAGGAGTTAAGCATAATAACAACTTTCATTTTTTCATTATTGCTGATGTTTTGCTGAATGACAAGGAAAGACTACCAAATCACTCACCTTGACATGGACTACAACTGTCATTTTTCATTATCATTTGCCTATATTGACTACCAAGTCTCGAGTACCAACCACTGACCACCAATCACCGAGTGCCGAGTACTGAGTACCGATAGGGAATAGTGTGGGTGAACCCCGGGGTATGAGTAGCACTACCCCCACCCATACCCCATGATATACCCACACCCACCTTGTGGGTGTGGGTTTTTTGGTGGGTATCAGGGAGAAACTACCGAGTCTTGAGTACCAACCACTGACCACCAATCACCGAGTGCCGAGGACCGAGTACCAAGTACCGAGTCCCGAGTCCCGAGTCTCGAGTCCCGAGTCCTGAGTCTCGAGTCCCGAGTCCCGAGTCTCGAGTCCCGAGTCCCGAGTCTCAAGTCCCGAATCCCGAATCCCGAGTCCCGAATCCTGAGTCCCGAGTCCCAAGTCTCAAGTCTCGAGTCCCGAGTCTCGAGTCCCAAGTCCCGAGTACCGAGTCCCGAGAACCGAGTACCGAGTACCGACTCCCAAGTACCAACCACTGACCACCGATCACTGAGTGCCAAGTACCAAGTACCAAGTACCAAGTACTGACAAATACAATTCCCAGGTTATTTGAGCCCTACACCAATGGATAATACATACAAATACAATTTGTGTCCATTTGAAGTACCGGGTTTCAGGTTTTGACACTCGACACTTGGTGATTTGTGAAATGAGTGAAAAATGGACATGTTGTGTACATGATGTTGGGTTTCGGGCTTTGGGTCTCGGCCCTCGGCACTTGGAACTCAATGATTTGAGTAATGTAAATGAAAAATCAACATGTTGCATGCCGGGTTTTGAGTTTCGGGTTTCAGCACTCAAAACTCAGTGATTTGTACAGTGAGTGAAAAATGGACATGTTGTGCACATATTTTCGGGTCTCGGGGTTCGGGTTTCGGCCCTCGGAACTCGGAACTTAATGACTTGTGTAATATAATTGAACAGTGGACATGTTGCACACCCGGTTTTGAGTTTCAGGTTTCAGCACTTGAAACTCGGTGATTTGTGCAACAAGTGAAAAATGGAAATGTTGCATACATATTTTCGGGTCTTGGGCTTCGGGTCTCGGCCCTTGGCACTTGGAACTCGATGATTTGTGTAATGTAAATGAAAAATCAACATGTTGCATGCCAGGTTTCAAGTTTCGGGTTTCAGCACTCAAAACTCGGTGATTTGTGCAATGAGTGAAAAATGGACATGTTGTGTACATATTTTCGGGGTTCGGGGTTCGGGTTTCGGCCCTCGGAGCTCGGAATTCAATGACTTGTGTAATATAATTGAACAATGGACATGTTGCATGCCGGGTTTCAAGTTTTGGGTTTCAGCACTCAAAACTCGGTGATTTGTGCAACAAGTAAAAAATGGACATGTTGTGCACATATTTTCGGGGTTCGGGGTTCGGGTCTCGGACCTCGGACCTCGGAACTCAATGATTTGTGTGACGTAAATGAAAAATCAACATGTTGCATGCCGGGTTTCAAGTTTCGGGTTTCAGCACTTTAAAACTCAGTGATTTGTGCAATGAGTGAAAAATGGACATGTTGTGTACATATTTTCGGGTCTCGGGGTTCGGGTTTCGGCCCTCGGCACTCGGAACTTGATGATTTGTGTAATATAAATGAAAAATGGACATGTTGCATGCCGGGTTTTGAGTTTTGGGTTTCGGCACTTGAAACTCAGTGATTTGTGCAACAAGTAAAAAATGGACATGTTGTGCACATATTTTCGGGGTTCGGGGTTCGGGTCTCGGACCTCGGACCTCGGAACTCAATGATTTGTGTGATGTAAATGAAAAATCAACATGTTGCACGCCGGGTTTCAAGTTTTGGGTTTCAGCACTCAAAACTCGGTGATTTGTGCAATGAGTGAAAAATGGACATGTTGTGTACATATTTTCGGGTCTCGGGGTTCGAATTTCGGCCCTCGGAGCTCGGAACTCGATGATCTGTGTAATATAAATGAAAAATCAACATGTTGCATGCCGGGTTTTGAGTTTTGGGTTTCGGCACTTGAAACTCGGTGATTTGTGCAACAAGTAAAAAATGGACATGTTGTGCACATATTTTCGGGGTTCGGGGTTCGGGTCTCGGACCTCGGACCTCGGACTCAATGATTTGTGTGATGTAAATGAAAAATCAACATGTTGCATGCCGGGTTTCAAGTTTTGGGTTTCAGCACTCAAAACTCGGTGATTTGTGCAATGAGTGAAAAATGGACATGTTGTGTACATATTTTCGGGTCTCGGGGTTCGGGTTTTGGCCCTCGGAGCTCGGAACTCAATGACTTGTGTAATATAATTGAACAATGGACATGTTGCATGCCGGGTTTCGAGTTTTGGGTTTCGGCACTTGAAACTCAGTGATTTGTGCAACAAGTGAAAAATGGAAATGTTGCATACATATTTTCGGGTCTCGGGCTTCGGGTTTCGGCACTTGGCACTCGGAACTCAATGAATTGTGTAATGTACATGAAAAATGGACATGTTGCACACTGGGTTTCAAGTTTCACGCTTTGGCACTCGAAACTTGGTGATTTGTGCAGTGAGTGAAAAATGGACATGTTGAACAATGGGTTTCAGGGTCTCGGGTTTGAAAAATAGCATAATAACAACTTTCATGTTTTCATTATCATTTGCCTATATTGACTACCGAGTCTGATAAGAGACCCCTTGGATGATTCATTGCTCAATGAAATACTACCTGATTGAAAGTGTGCTGGTTATCAGATATTCATTTGTCGACTCCCGGGTCCCGGAACTTGGAAGTCGGTACGGTTGACCCAAATTTGGGTGGTCGGAACTTGGCATCTCATAGGGCAACACAAGCTTCACACCCTGGATTCCAAATTCTGCAAGACAACCTGTGCACCATCAAAGGCCATGTCAGGAGATCACCTGCTGCTCCGGGAACTCAGGAACTTTGATTTATTACCTCCTCTGAGTACGGTTGACCCAAAGGTTGGTAATCGGAACTTGGCTTCTCATAGGGTAACACAAGCTTCACACCCCGGATTCCAAATTTTGCAAGACAACCTGTGCACCATCAAAGGCCATGTCAGGAGATCACCTGCTGCTCCAGGAACTTGGTAACTTTGATTTTATTACCTCCTCTGATTTGGTTGATGTACAACTACCTCAGCTCCATCGTGTTTACAATTATGATACACATGGGCCCACCCATCTATATTTTATACCACCCTCGGCCCACCCGTCTAATACAACATCCCATACAACACCCTCGGCCCACTGGTCTAATTAATATGCGTCTGGGCCCACCTGTATAATACAATATTGTATAATACCCTCGGCCCACCCATCTAATTTAATATGTGTCTGGGCCCACCCATGAATGTGATAACAAGTACCTACCCATCTATCTCATACACATCTACCTTAATACACCCATCTGCATAATATCCAACTACCTCGGCCCACCCGTCTACCTAATATTCATGTACATTGGCCCACTCATCTACTCTATATCCCCTGCATGGGCCCACCTGCCTCCATCGGGAATAATTTGCCTCCCGGCCCATCCGTCATAGTCGAGGATATTTTTATCATGGGCCCATGGTCCGCTGGCCCGTATCATACGGGATATTATGCACGTCCGTTCCCTCGTATTATACGGAAATAGGTCACTGTAATATGTGCTACATTCAAGTCGCATGTTAGCCAGGTGATGATGCGTGAAAAGAGTAAATCGGGCTCTATGGCATCATCAGGGTCGCACTCTCGAAAGCCATCATCATCTCACGAGCCGTCATTGCAACAGTCCTCCCCAACAGCGCAAACATCTGTCTCGACGACGCCAGCAAGTTCAGTCTCCAAACGTCTCCGGACGGAGATTCACGAGCAAATGGATGCACTCAACGACGACCTGGAAAGTATTCACTCTGACAAGCTAACCTTATATCAGCTGAAGAATGAGCGCCTTATGGTGAAGCTCAACGCTAGTCGCCAGGACAAGGAGCATCGTCTGATGCATGAGGAGCATATGGATGAGCATGCAGATGCTGCCATAGTCCATCAGCGCATGAAGGAGGCTAAAGAGGTAGATATTCACCTACATGAAGCGGATGCCGCCACTTTTGCCTCGGAAGCAGATGTTCTACGCCTCCGGATTCAGTGGGCCCAGCTCAATGCCCAGGGTGGCAAACTTGCTGGTACCTGACTTCTCGTGTCGTCATCATCATCACGTTCTTGCGCTGCCATCATCATCATCATGTTCTCACGACGTCGTCGTCATCATCACCTTCTCGTGTCGTCGTCGTCATCATCATCACCTTCTCACGTCGTCGTCATCATCATCACATTCTCGTGTCGTTGTTGTCGTGTTCTCGTGTCATTGTTGTTATGTTCTCGCATCGTTATACTCTTACATGTCTTGGCTGTTATATGTCTTGTTATGTTTGCATGTAGTGTTCTCACATATGGCCACAAGTTGATCACTAGTTGTAAAATTTAGTAGTACATTTGTTTAGCTATACACAATGTTACTCTGCTTGTTTGCTCAATCTGCCTGATGGTGTGCTTGTGAATGAGGGCTATCAAACAACAAATCCATCAGCCTTGCCCTGTGAGCTTGACCTGGAGTGCCTTCATAAGACCTATCACTCACTACTTCATCACCATCTGGTCCTTCATCCTCATGGCGTATAGTATTGTTCCCCTCTCGAACAGCCCATACAAGTGTGGATTTCTTGCGAATCTCCTCGAAGCGGATGATCATATTATGAAGGATTAGGCAACACCTAACCCAATGCAGAGTGACCTGAAGATCCTTCTGGTTCTGAAGTGGGTGCCTAAGTTCCTTGAGAGACTGGAATCGTCCTTTCAAAGCTGCAAATGCATGTTCAACATGAACACAGACCTATATGAATAAAAAATCAGTGAAAATTGCAAAAATCAGCAAAAAAATTAGAAATACCCAAGAGAGGTTAATATTGAAGGATTTCTGGTCCCTGGTCAACCTCCCATTACGTGGCTTCTTGAAAGGGGCAATGCACCACTTCTCAAGTGGGTAGGCACTATCTGCCCAAATCCAATGGTCCTCTGGAAGAAGAGTGTCATGCTCCTGATAAACACGAGTGGATTTGAAGGCATAAGCATCATGTGTACTGCCAGGGTTACCCAGTGAATAATCAACTATGAGGAGGTTATGGGGCATAATTATTGCCTGAATTTTTTATTAATTTCTGACTGTTAGAATAAGAGAAAAAAAATACCTGACAGTTGAGGGAATAGTTAGACTTCCTGTCATAAAATGCCTCACCATAAAGACCAGGTTTTTCATACAAATTAATGGCAGAACCATCAATTGCAAAAATACCATTTCTCCACTCAGGGCAGGACCTAGCCTCAACAAATTGCCGAGCATGCTCAGCATCTTCGGAGTCAGGAGTAGGAAATTGGATGAATGTGTCATGCAGATCAAGGAGGGCAATCATGACACGGTTGCTGCAATTGATTACTGACCCCACACTAACACCTGCCCATTGACCCACATCTTCTGGGGAAATGGCATTGCCATAGTGCCCAGCGCGGTTGAGAAAAATGGCTAGTTGAATAGCAACTGGAAGCTGGGGGTTATTGGACTGATTAGTGAAGATGGAGTGACCTGAGATGTGATCAAGGATATCGTCAAAGATCTCTGGATTGACGTGTAGTTTCTTCCGGAAGAGATGAGTGCGAGATGTCCCAAAATCATGAAGGAGGTGAATTTGAGGGGCCCGCATAGGAGGTGCATCTGGCTTTTGAAGGACACATGCCCTTGAGACCTCATCACAAAGGGAAGTGATAGTGTCATGAAGGCGGTCGTAATGTGCAGCAACATGGGTGCTTTCATCATCTGAGTCTGAGTCCGAGTCCGAGTCCGAATAGTCAGATAATTGTGGGGTAAGAGGAGATGGAGGAGTGAGGACCATATCCAAGTCAGAATCAGAATCAGAGTTGGAAAAGTCAGATAGGGTCATAGTATGAAGTGCATGCTTGTACTTGGAAATGGTTAAGGCTAATTCTGCCTCATCCAGTTCATCAAGCAGCTGGTTGCGTAGGGAAAGACGGGGCATGATGAGGTTCAAGAGACACCAATATGAATATGCTTATCGATCCTTATCAATCAGCTTACCACTCCATGTGAATGAAATCCAAATATGGGGTCGGAGTTTAAATTTTCCTTTTGTGGTAACAAGCACTCTGGTGCAGCACCGGCACCATCAATGACAACGACACTCTAGCGCCCGTTTGGCATCTCTCACACCACCCTCATCATGTTCCTTTGCCGTCCACCAGGGGAGTCAAGGACGGATCTCATAGTGCTGCCCATCATCAACGTCCTCAAACTAACATGCCGCTCTCGAATCCAGTTGTGTCCGACTGCAGCTCTCACGTCTATTCCTCTCCATGCAGCTCACCCATTTCAAACAAAGGCAGATCGTTTGAGGTTCCTGTCCGCATCCCGCCAAAACTCACAAAAGACCCACAGCGACCCGCTTTCATTCACTACCTTCACAAACTTCTTCCTTCCTCCTCCCGCACGAATGCACTCCGTCCTATTCGGAACCACGAATCTCACAATCCGCTGAACGTATGTTTCTTCTTTCTGTTGCCTTCGCAGTCGATTTGACCCTCACCTTGTAGTTCCCTGCTACGTTGCCCTTACCTCCAAATTACTCTCCCTCGGGGCAGGCCACAACTCAGGTGCATTCATATATGGATCCCGGCGATACAAGTGTTCACCGTCGTCATCACATTTTCAGCTTACATTTTTAGTCTCGATCCGCACGACTAGTACCACCTGCCCCTCAGTCCAGTCTTACAATTCGCATTTTGTCATGAGAGACAAACGTTCGCAGGCTTACGATCCTCTCTGAAACGGTCACTATGATAGTTCGTATGTAGCTTATTTTGTACTTAGTACAGTAATCCATCTGCGCATCTGCGCCTCTTCACCTTCCCAAACACTAAGTCTCTCTTCAAAGTCCGACCGCGATGCCGAACGGAGCCGTACTTGTGTTAACGTTTTTCAGACCGATTTAACTGACGTTTACCGAGCTTTACCGAGCTTTACCGAGCTTTACCGAGCTTAGCGAGCTCTGTGAAATTTACTTTGAACGCCATTAGTATCTAGTGTTGTTGGCAAAACTCTGCAGTTTTGTGAAGCAGTCCGACACAAGCCACGTGATGGTGTAATCTCTCAGTTGAGCACTCGGAAAAATTCATGCAAACCTTCGACACTATCTTCAAGTTCTTTGGGCTGGGCATTAGTGATCACTGATGGCTATGATGCGAAGAGTGCCGACGTCTCTTTCATAACAATTCAGATGACAGCTGATTTCCTGAAGGAGTTATCCAACATAACACTATGCATCTAGTGGTCTGACACAATCCACGCGACGGTGTAATCTCTCAGTTGAGACAAGTGGGCAAAATTCGTGCAAACCTTCCACACCACAGCGCCATAAAAGGCGCAGCACTCGTCGTCGACATGCTCACGTGTACACTCGTGAAGAAGCTAACATCGCTGTCGAGACTGCACAGGATCTTGAAGCATCTTTCGCATGGGCACCTCCGCTCTCGACCGAGCCTCGTGATGCAGATCACCTTCTTGTTGGTCTCGTCTGACGACATCATTGCTGTTGAATTTTGCACCTCTCGAAGAGTCGAAGAAGCCTGAAAAAGTTCAGGATATTAATGAAGTCAAAGTGCTGAAAGGAAATGCTTTTGATTTTGCATATAGTCTACATATCATCAGTAAACCGGTGAGTTCTTGCTGGGGATTATGCTGATTATGGTGCTTTTACATGGTCATATATTGCTTTATATCACTTTATATTACAATGTGACGAAAACCTTTCCTATATATTACGATATATAACGATATATGACGATATCTTCTTCTCACAGGTTCTCTGATGATAGCCTGTAGTTTTACCCCCTCCACTATATACATCACTCAGCCTTGGGCGATGTATATGTCGTCCCGCTCGAATCCGTGTATATGGTTTCAGTAGCCCGTGTGCATTGCTAGGATAGCGCTGAAGCCGGTGACCATGCGGAAGATATCACCATCAATCTCGCGAAGGTAGCTGAAGTTAGGACGCCGGCGGTAAACAGGAGTCGTCAGTATCAGTCTCGCATGAAGCAATGGAATCAAGTTTACGCCTAGGTCTCACGGTGGTGAGCAAAATTCAACAATGCGAATAAAGTAGGGCGAGAGTCGTTCAGAGAAAATGAGTCCTGTGAGCCGAGATCGGCGAGACAGTTATGGTGTTGTGTCCGTGTTTGAAGGCGCCCGAGCTGAGCCATGCAGTAGAGCGTTTAATAAGAATGCATGTTGGCGCATGTACTTTTTAAATTCATCGAAAGACCACTGACCTGCTACCTGAATGAGATCTGGTGTCATTCCCGAAATAGCGAGTGCTATGGCGCCTCCAGCTCTCACAGGATGACCTGACGTTGCCGTCCCGCGATGTTCACGTAAGCGTCGGAGGAACGTATGAATTTGGCACTCGCCAATCACAAAGTGGGACGAAAGACAAACGCAGTGTCTCGGTAGGTAAAATATTGTCACAGCAGTGGCAATGGATCAAGTGCAATCACAGAATTTGACACGATGAGGATGGTCGTGTGAGTCCCGACTCCCCAAGCTGTCGTACTTCTGGCAGTGGCTAGTCGTCGCTTCCTTATCAAGCAAGTTGTATTATTATATGAATTTTTGAATGGCCTCGACTTCGCTTTGGAACTTACGTGGCACCTTATCAAGCGGATAGCAGTACCGTGTAAGTCATAGTGCTGTAAGTTAGTCTTCTGCTATGTCTCCTGGGGCTAAGCTGTTCTCTAAAGACTCGGGGTCATTTGCATGGTTGATCTATTGAAGCTACGGTGACCAATAGATGTTGAGATATTTGCAGACCCTAAGCGTGACGATCAGTGGCACCAAGTCCGAATTCGGCGAACCCGGCTTTGACAAATCCACTTCAAATTTTCGACTGTATATATTACTAGGCGCCTTCGCCGGCGATGACCTTGTTTTCGTTTTTAATTGGAAAGACGAAGGGAACGAGCGCACTCGAAACGGTATTTTGGAAGGACAGAGACTGGTCACAATATTAATCGTAGGAAATGAGCGAGGACTACGAATACGGAAAATGCCGTTGTTTGTAATTGTGG